CCCCAAAACCCCAAAACCCCAAAACCCCAAAACCCCAAAACCCCTATTATCAAGATAGAAGATAAATACAGGGGAATGTGAATTTTTGAATAAATGGGGTAGCACAGTATATCAGATCAATTAAGCTACATATGCAGCGGATAGTATTAGTTATCCACATGAATATTAAACAAAAATCAATTTAATTACTCTAAATTACCAGTACTCATTACTTTTTGCCTCTTTTGAGGATGTTCCTTCAAACTCTCCATATCTTCCTCAAGGTTGTCTGAATCAGACTGACCATCGATGTTGCTTTCATAGATAGGCTATCCTTGGATTTTCTTAGATTCTTGGGGATTACTCTCAATAAAATTGGCATCCTCATCTTCCTTGATTTGAATTGAATCTTTAGAATCCTTTCTTGACTTTTCTTGATTTATTAGAATTTCCTAATCCTTTGAGATTTTGTTCTCAGATTTCATTAAAACATTCAAGTTTGACGTATCTAAGAGTAATAGTTTCTCTAAAATCTTGGTGGCTGATTGGCTAAAGTTATATTAGAAATATCTATTAATCTTACACTTATGAGAGTGTTAATTGTCCAAATTCAGGAATACAATAGCACTGACTCTTTAGTAACTGACTTCCTATTAATCATCAATTGCGTTAATTTCTTACTTGTTTAGAAAGAGTCAAACTTTGTAGTTCCAGGAATTCTTAAAGGTGTAAAGAGACTCTCGGGAGAAGGTCTCTTATTATCAGAATTGTAGAGTTCAGTACTGCAATGAGACTCCTTTTTAGGAGTGGTGTACATAGTATGCTAAACAAAGTCGTCATTACTTTAACGCTTTTGGCCAAAAGTAGGTGACTGCTGTTTTCCACTCATCATATACTCTTAGTAGTTATTTGACTGGGCTATTGCAATATCGTTTTCTTAGAACTAGAACCTTCCATTTACCTAAGATACACCAATATAGCATTCTTCAAAGGCACTAGACAAATCTTTCCTAAGACAGTTAACTGAACTTTCTGGGTCATATGACGAGGGCATGATTTGCTGATTGAGCTTAGCTCTTGCTTCACTGTTGATCATATACTGTGACCTGTTCTGCTAATGCTCCATGAGTTTCAGCTTCCTCTTTAGAGTAGAATTAAAGTGATTCTTAATGTGGTTGTCTGTTCTTCCAGGCAATAGTTTAGCAATCTCAGACCATCTGTTTCCTAATTTCTTGTGAGCTTCTATTATGAGAAAATCTTCCTCTTCAGTCCATTTGTTCTTTTTTATATCAGGATTCAAATGATTATGCCATCTAAATGATAATATGATTAGATAAAAAGTATAATTTACCTCTCTCTGCATTGCTTGCCGATCCTCCCAGGAAGGGCAGTAGCTATTTAGCTCCAATTCTGAGCGCCATGCTATTGTACCATATTAATTAGTGTTTGGTCTTCATCCTCAGTCCAAGGGCCCTTAATCATTGCTGGATTAAGAACCTTCTGCCATCTATGCAGGCACTAGACATCAGTCCTGCTTTCGAAAAAAGAAGCGATTCTTTTCCAGTTTTTAGCCTATTTAGCCAAGAAGGTTAGAATACGTGGGAACGAGATAGTATGGGAAGTGAAAATTAGAAATAATTTTATTATGGCTTACCCCGTAGGTATCAACTAGTTTCCTTAATTTCTCATCCTAAATAAAATAAATTAAAATTTGATTACTTCTTCTTCAGTCCAATATCTTTTGATGACATTGCGGAAAGGCTTTGAATCCTACATCATCCCGGGAATATTATCTTGAGAGAAGGGGGTCATAGTAAGTGGGTCATCTCTATACCCACTGCTATTAATTGCTGGATTATTCCCAACACTGCTATTGAACTTGCTCTAGTTGCGGTAAATTCGTTTCCCGATCGAGGTTTGAGCTTTGTCCTCGCTAGGATCTTGATCTTTTAGCTTCTTGGGTGGAGAATATTGGTCAGAATGAGAATCATCTAGAGATTATTTATGGGCTGGAGTCTTATTTTCCATTTCACCGGCAATTTATTTATGCTGTATCAGCTCCTCTCTCCTTAGCTCACCTCCCGGTGAAGCTATTGGCTGGTTCTACTGAAGCATCTCCTAGTCGTCCAATGTCTGGGGAGCGTACTTGAGATGAGATAAATCGCGTGTTTTGCTAAATGCACTATAGGAAAAATTAATGGGATCTATCTTTGAAGTACCGTTGCATATTAATTTTAATTAAATATTTGTTAGAATGCGAATGCTTATTAACGGATCTTAAAACTAAGAGACTCTCAATTGCATATTAATTAAGAGATCTAATCTCAATTTCCTATCTTACACCCAAATTTTATCTAATGGGGTTTTGGGGTTTTGGGGTTTTGGGGTTTTGGGG